AGTTGAATCAAATTTAACTTCTTAACTAAACGAGCTCGAGTACAGTTGAACTAACGTAACGAGCAACTTATATCTTTTTAATAAATAATATCAACAAAAATTACTTTTGACAATATTATCTATACAAATTTTGTCAATGGTTAGATTAACAAGAGATTGAGGGTTTGTTTGGAAACACTTATTGATAAGTCCATTTCAAGATGGACTTTTTAAAAAGTGACTTCTCAAGAAGTCTTCAATATAAACTTCTTTGAAATGGACTTTTTGTAGGAGTTACTTTTTTAAAAGTCCATTTTGTTGTTTACACCAAACATCTTTTTATATTGGAAATGGACTTTTATAGTCAAAAGTCCATTACAAAAGTGCTTCCAAACATACACTGACTCTTTGACAAATGATGTGTATTTAAACCAAATAAATTGAATAACATCATCATTGATACAAATGATCAATTTAAATCTAATCTAAACTACTTAAAGCACACAAATGTATATCAAAGTCAATCTTTTGGATTTCGTGGTTAGAAGTCAAATGATACCAAGTCAAAATAGAAGAAAATGATGAATGCTATTAGACATTTTCAAGACTAAATAGTAAATACATTCAAAACATTTTCTTATTTATAAAATACATAAATGCATTTTGATATTTGCTCTTCACTATAATCAAGAATAGGGAAGTTTTTCTTTTTTAATTAATTTAGATTTTCCTTTTTGGAGAATGGTGTTAGTTAGTGATGAAGACGAGACCGTCATTGCATTTCTGAATAAATACGACCGGCTTCGGGTCTAATCTATTTTATCTCTTACTATTATTAGTGCTTTTCTAGTTTATTTCCTTTAGTAATTTTAATAATTATGGTAGGATAATAATTAGCTTGCAAGTGTTTTGACAAGTTTAGGTTTCTCATTTATTATTTATGTTGTATGGGACGAAAGAAAAGACATATTTTGATGAATAAAAGTTTTATGTTCGTTCATTCTTGACAGAGTATCTCATATTACATCACATTCGTACTACGATCCACATCAGTTGGTTTCAGCAGTCAGTACGATCGCGATGCTGCCGGGACGAAAAGATGCCGCAAACAAAAAACGTGATGAGATTCGCAAAGCGATGAACACCATGATGGAAGAGACTCGTGCGAGGCGCAACGGCGGTGACCGGGCCGCTCGCGGTGGGTTTCGCAGAGGTCGGGGAGGACGCGGCTTTGGTGGGACGCCCCACCGGCGTTCACCATCGCCTCTGTCCGGCGATGAGGAAGACGATGTCACGGTGACCCTCGAGAATCCGTTTGCGACGGCGTTTCGGCGCGGCCCAGACATGGAGGATTTTGTTGTTCATCGTGGACGTGGC